CTCCTTAGTCTCCTTAATCTGGAACAATTTCTCAGTTTTGACTTTCATGACCAATTGATTTGTAGAATGTCTCCCTGTTTTGTTTTGTTTTATCCTGATGTCTTCCCATTGGTTTCAGGTTATGCACTTTTTCCAGGAATCCTACTGAAGTGATGTCAGGTCCTTAGGGCATTGCAAAAGGAGGCACATGATATCGCTTTGTCCCATTACTGATGCTACTAAAGAAAAATAGCTTCTCAAGAAAATGGAGGACACATTATTTATTCAACATTTTCATTAGTTTAAAACCAACCCGAGTTGCATTCTGCACTGCATAAATTTCTAGTCTTGCCCCTCGCCGACTGGAAACATGTCCACATTCTCTGCCTCCACAAACCTTGAGAGAGCAGGCCATTCCTAATGCAGTTACTTCTCCCCACTTTGCCATTGGCAAAGCCAGCTAGACACCATCTTTTGACTGGAGAATGTCCAATGAGCCTAACTAGTGTCACTACGTGCCACATGGATTAGATTCTGGAATAGTCTGTGAAGTATCCCCATTGGAACACCATCCCCTCCTTCAGTGAGCAGTCAGGTGATGGTGCAGAGGAATGCCCAGCACTCCAAAGCTTTCTCCAAATTCTTTCATTTCCAAATTTTTTGGCTCAACTTTGACCCCTTATAAAGTTCTCCAAGAATGGACTAAGGTCTCTAAAAAGACTTTCTGGGAAAGAAAGACAAATCCTGGGAAAGAAAAAAAAAAATAACCAACAACCATATTTATATTTTATCTAGTACTATTTAAGGATTATAGATTCTGTACTTTCAACTCTCGTCAGTAGACTTTTCCTACAGAAACCAGTTAAACTCTTGAAGAATCCCAGAGGAATATGAGAATAAATAGTGAAAATCTTGCCTTGGCTATTCATGAGGTGTGACAGATGCCTCAGGGATTCAGGACTGAATGCAGTGCGTTTCCTCTAAAGGTTGAGAAGCGCGGAACCTTCAGATAGTCTGAATTCGCTGAAGTGGTATGGCTGGTAGGACAAAAAATTCTTCAGGCCCGACAGAGATAGGCTATGTGCTACCAAAAGTTCTTACAGACTTCCCTGCTCCTTCATCTTGGAGACCTGGACTTTGCACTAGTTTCAGTGTTTCCTCATAAAGGCTTCCCAGCTGTCCTTCCTCTGACTAAATCTCCAGTTCTTGCTCCCTGCTCCTCCAGAGTCAAACAGAAAGGACAATAGGACAGTTTTAGGGTGTGACGACTAGGACAGCAATTAACCATCTTGTGTGCTGTTTCATCAAACTTGGTGATTACTTTTCATATTTTCTCTAATCTTATTACCATCAAGCAAGCCTTTGACTACTGAATTTACTGGCCCACTGTACTGTTCCCCTTTAGTTCTTTTCCTTTGTGACCTTCTAGTGCCTAGAGCTGGATTAAACATAATCCTTGTTTTATCCCTATTCTTGAATGGATTGCTTTCTAATGAGTATTTGTGAACTCACCATCCCATTCCCACGATGGTCACATTACCTAGTAACTTACATTTTACCGATGTCCTTCTGCCCTAGCCTGTCTCCCTGCTTCTCCATAGGTAACCTCTATTCTAAATTTTGTCTCAGGAATATCCATGGTAGAGGAAAGAGAAAGTTTTATCATGTATACGTATGCTTAAGCAAAGGCATTCTGTTCATTTTTATAAGGATATCATACTGTATTGTTTTTCACTAAATATTGTTATTAAAATCATGTTACCAACTAACTGGGCTGTAGTTGTTTCATTTTCACTAATGAAGATTATGTCGTTGGGTAAAATAACTCTATTCGTTCTTTCAATGGACATTTGGATTGTCTCATTTTTTTTTTGCTTAAATAGTGCAGCTGTGAATTTCCTGGTGTACAATGCAAGTGTTCCAGGAGATACACCCAGGAGAGAATTGCTCAACTATAGGGATGTGAATGTCAACCTTGAGAGAATGCCAAATTATTTTCCAAAGGGATGTAGTAATTAAACTCCCATCAGTACTGGGAGGTCTCAAACCACATCATCTCCAACATTTGGTATGACCAGACTTCCAAATTACATTATGTGGTGGTAAAATGGTGATATCTAATTGTGGTCCTGGTTTGCATTCCCCTGGTTAAACCTCTCTTCATATATCTACTGGTCATATATTTCCTCCTCCACAAAAATGCCTGTTCAAAACCTTTGCCCACTTTCCTATTGTTTATATATGTATACCAATTTTTTATGTTGTGTCTGTTACTTTTCACTTCCAGTTATCTAAATTTTTATGTAGTTGGATTTATATTAAGGTTCATATACTGAGTCCGAGTTTACATATAATTTTCCTAGTTAGGCTTTCTGTGTCCGTTTTGAGATGTTTCCTCACAAACTTCGTATCACCTACATCTTATGAACATCAGAGTTTAACTCTTTCATTCTTCTGTATTTGATTTTTGTGGATGGCATCATTTAAAAGTGCAAATGGCATTTTCTTAAAATACTCAAAATCGTTACTTTTCTCGACACAGTTGAAGTTCTAATATAGTACAGTACTTGCTCCCAAACTAAATCAGTCATTAATGTGGAGAACCTGTTATGACAGGTAAATTTTACCCTTAATTTCCTTGCTTTGGGAATCATCTGCCAAGGAGATCCACAAACTTGTTTTGCAGACCATAGTTGTTTTAGAAATAGCCTTTTTTGACTCAAAATGTAATCTTACACACCTTTGTTTTGCCAAATATTATGTGTTCCCCATCCCTCTACAGACTTCGGCAGCATGGACACTCAATCATTACAGCACATGGGAGCCTGTTTCTTCTTTCTAGAGCCCCTCACTTGTGAGTGCATGGAAGTCTTTCAAGTTCTCTTAACTTGAAGCCTTTGCACATGCTGCAACCTCCATCTGGATCCCATTCATTGTGCAAACTCTTGACTCAAACATAAATTTGAGAAGCCCTTCTTAAACATTCAGAAAAGTGGCTGGCCCAAACCAACATCCAGTAACAAAAAATGTCAAGCACCTACTTAAAATACTGATGGCTTCTAAGGAATTGGAAATTAATACTTTAAGTCTTTTGAGAACATTTGAATGGTTAAGTTTGGGCTTTCAGAAATTTCATAGAATGAAAGGAAAACAGGTACTCACTATCAACTGAGTCTCTTGGCATTACCTAGGGTCGGTAATAGCTGTGCCCAAATATATCCACTTTCAACTTGGTTTCTATATCCAAAAGACACATATGCTTGCTTGTCCAGGATGAGAGTCATTCTTATAAACTAAATATGGTAATGATACAGGGCAGGTACAGATGTCTTCCCAAAGCTAGCATATCAAGTCTTGCTACTTCAGTAACTTCCGAGTTCTGAAACACTTGGGGGCTGACAATCATACATAGAATAGACTTCAAAGAATCCAGGTTGAGTAGCATGATGATTTTGATGTACTCAGCATTTTTATGCTTTTCAAGTTTTTAAAGCACATCTACTGTGATGAGATCTTGAATACCATTATTTTGTCATTTGAAGAGTACCATTTTCAAGAGGCCTGTTGTGAAGTTTCTTAAAAGTACCTATACAGATCCAGCAGTATCTTTAATTTTAGGCCTTTAGTCTAAAGGAGAGCTAGAATTAACCAGTAACACTCTGCTGTACACAACACTGAAGAGAATGGGAGTACTTTATCGACAGTAATTTCACATTTAGAAAAAGACCCACGTCTAGCCATCTTCCAAGTGCCCAGTTTCAGAGACCCCCCCCTTAAAACTGTAGATGTTTCTGGGGTGCCTGGGTGGCTCAGTCATTAAGTGTCTGCCTTCAGCTCAGGTCATGGTCCCAGGGTCCTGGGATCGAGCCCCATGTCGGCCTCCCTGCTCAGCGGGAAGCCTGCTTCTCCCTCTCCCATTCCCCACGCTTGTGTTCCCTATGTCAAATAAATAAAATCTTAAAAAAAACTGTAGTTGTTCCAATTCCACCACTTATTTTCCTACATACAACAAAATAAAGCAATTTATGGTTCCTTGATCTTTCTCTGCAGGAATGTATAAGACTATCTTCTCAGTACACAGCACCAGTTAGGAAGTTCCTAACACACTGTAGACTCTCATGCAGTGACTATGATGTAGTTGCATCCAAATGAAGTGCCATTCTCCCTTAATGTAGATATGAAAGTGTTTCAATGATACTGCCACTGCTGGAAAGTCTCCAAAATTCTTGGATTTGCACCCAGGGGCTTTTCACTGTTGGTAAGAGTTCCTCAATTATTCAATCAAGGTTTCACTCTCAAATTCAGGTTTAACCACAAATAATCTAAGACTGCAGATTCCAAACTGCCCATTATTAGGTTTAAATATGTTTTGGGCCATGGCAGCGTTGGTGACTATTTTGTAGGGAAGACAGGAAGGAAAAAAACTGAGGCCCTATAGTTAAACTACTTGACATTCTTCTTAATTCTCTTATACTCCCCCTCCCCCCCCACCATTTCTATGATCTTTAGAGCATGACGTAATAGCAGAACTATTAAATGGAAAAGCTAGGACCATAGGTCAGAGCTGTAGCCAAGTCCATCCTTTCAACTGATCTCAATGCTGGCTCCTCTCTCAAAGGACAACTGTGAAGCAGACTTTTTTTTTTTTTTTTAACAATCCCAATACTCCACACACAGAAAATACATTGTTGTATTCTCCAATTTCCTGGAAATATCAACGTTATAGTGACAAAAAGACATGAAGCCTGGATTTGGGACAATTAAAGAAAGGTCAAAAATTTATTATTCAAATCCCAAGGCAAAAAAATCTCAGGTTGGACTCTTTCTTCATCTACTGGGCACTAGTACGTAGAAACATTAACAGCTAGTATTAATGAAGTATTATCACAATTTCAGAATCAAACTAGTTTAGAAGACTAATGCACATAAATAGGCAAATGTGACAAGCTTTAGTTTTATTTTTATTTATACTTGAATGAGATCCATCTCCTCAAGTCTAGTTTAATGCTCCTTAGCTATAAACGATTACTTCATGTCCTTGGCCTGGGGGTCAGGAGAAATCAGTAAAAAAAGAGCCATGAAGATGATTATTTTGCCCCAATGCATAAGAGATCTTTTCTCCTTCAAAGAAAGACCCCAAGGCCTCCATTGCACTTTTATTTGAATGTAGTATTTGGGACAACTGTGCCAAAGGGCTGGTATTTCCCAATTTAATCTGAGGTCATAATAAAACAAGCAACAAAACAGTTATTTGGGATTTCCGTTTCTCACCCTTATCATCAAGACTCACTGCCTCCCGTCATCAATATTTATTGAGCATTTACAGTGTACTAGGCACAATAGAACATACAGAAAACATTGTCCCTGCTCTTGAGGAGCTTACATTCTAAAAGAAAAAAAAATACACCTCTTTTAAAATGGTATTTTTGTTTGGTGTTTTCTGCAAGGTACTGAGGAAAATAGTCTGAGGGTGAGCTTTGGGTATAACTTAGCCCCATCATTATTTAAAGAGAGGAAGAGGAAGGATTTTAAAGGCAGACAATGACAGACCATTCAGGATAGGTAGGGCTTACAAGGAGATAAACACAATCTCATCAACTAAGGAGAGATTTGCTGCAGTAAATAGGATGAGGGAAATAGTTTGTGGGATGCAAGCAAAGGAAGCAAGGTATCCTTAGACACTGAGTGGAGCCAGAAAGATCATGCGGCCTTTTTTCCAAGTACATGGCCACCAAGTAGGAATGGTTGGTGACAAGACAGAAGGCTAAAAAAGGTAATCCTGTGCACCTGACAAATAGAATAAAGGATCAAAATTGAAGGCAGGCTATAACAATATCAAGAAATTCTTAAAAACAAAAGTGATTTGGAAGCACAAAACTTAATGCTACCCAATGTCATGATGGGCGAAGAACATTGTGGCTTCCTAAGTTAGAAAATGCCGTATACCAAAATTTTAAATGGAACACATAACTTTTTTCCAATCAATCCCCTGTCGCTAAAAAAAAAAAAAAAAAAAAAAAAACAAAACAAAAAACCAAAAACCAGAAAACCAAACAAAAAAAAATACAAAACTCTTTCCGCCCCCCTGGGGAGGGGAGGAATATGGGACATGGTTGGGAACAGTAGTAGTTCTAATATTAGTAGTATTTTGTTATGATAAACTTTGTATTTAAACTTGGTAAAAGCCCATTAGCTGCCAAGAGGGAATAAGGAATAAATTTCTAAAAATGTACAATTTAGAGAAGTTTCAGAACCAGAAAAGACTAATTTACATGAAAAGCTGTAGAGAAAGTAGTTGAAAAGTCCATTCATAAAACTTTTATTCCACTTACATGAACTTAATACACGTGTTCTTAACAATTATGCTTGGATTGTTCATGAAAATTTCATAAGACATTAAACAAAGCTAGCCATCATCTCAAGTTATTTCCCTGTTAACTATTTTTACAGCACATGCATGTTAGGCAAGTATCAAAAAAAAAAAAAAAAAAACAAAAAAAAAAAAAAAAAAAAAACACAAAAAAAAACAACCAAAAAAAAAAAAAAGTTAAACCCTAAAAAAAGTTAAATACATGGGATTTTTATTTTGCTGCTGTACTTGATATACATAAAGTAATGGATATCAAGCAATTCATTTTTACTGCATCTTTACTTGTACATTTGTTCTTAGGTTGCCTAAAACATTTAAATACAAATAAAAGGAGTGTAGCAAAAATAATGAAAGCAAACAGCAGGTAACTTTACAAATAATGGAATGTGAACCGTTTCTGCCCTTATCCAGAGTAAATTGGGTCACAATTAAAGGAACACTTCTGCAACTGTAGTCAAAGGTGTGCACATTGAAGAGTATTCCACAGATACTTATGGTTCAATATGTAATATCTACAGAATACCCATTTCTACTACAGCCTTGTAAGTGCTCCAAACCTTAAAGTACCCACAAAAACTACACCTGTATCTGGAACCAATTATCCCTTTTATTCCCCACCAGGACAAACCAATATGTAGGCAGTTTTCTTTGCTTAGACATGGAAGCAGTTTTAACACTGGCCCTTGTGAAGCCACAATGTACCAAAAGTACTATGCCAAACATTTATAACTAGTATAAAAATTCCACATCCCCATATTGGCCACCTCAAGATGAAAACAGATAACTCCCTAAATGTTAACTGGCTCTACTCCCCTAATATTCAACATAAAAACCACATGGGAAATATAGAAATTCAAATAGAAGTAACATAAACCTGTCATAAATCGTAAACAAAAAACTATTTGTGGGACAGCATGGATGACAAATGGTCTACTATGTAAATTTTAGAATGAGGCAGACAAAAGTTGGAAGGCCGGTTAATTTTCCCCTCCTTCTCCTGCTTCAGCTTCGTCTCCTTGGGTGTCCGATGTCCACAACTGGTAAAAGAAGGAAAGATTTTTCAGCATGCTTCAGTTTGAGAAAAATCTTAATAAATTTGTCATAGCTACCAGATATAACCACAGCTTTTGCTGAAAGCTTTAAAAGATTACAGCAATGAAGACAGCTTTCAAGATACAAACACCCTCATTTTCTCCCTAACCTTTTTGTGTCAACAATCTAAGTGCAAAGCAAGTTGTCTTCAAATAAAGTCAGATACAAGAAACTCTTGGTTATCATAGAAGAGAAAGCAAAATAAAAAATACAGAAGTGCTACAAAAATGAGAATATTGAACTGCTCTGAATAGCCCCAATATGAGAGATGGATGTTTAAGTTTAGTGTACCTCAACTAGAATCATCTTAATTCAAACCCACGTTCAAGCTCAGGTTGATTTCTTTCGTATTAACATAAGACTCCCACTGCAAAGAGAATCTCACACTTCATGAAATTCAAGAATGAGGATATCAAGTTTGAATTAAATTACAAATTTAGCTTTTCTCATGTTTTTAGCTTAGAAAAACATACCTTTTGAATCTATAGGATTCAAAATAAATAGTTGAACAGAAAACAGTATGGTCAGAACCCAATCTTCTAAGAGGTAAAAACTGAATTGTCCCATAGTGTTGACTATGGATTCTATTAATTTTTTTCATTAATGTTAATTTATTGGCAGGTTAAAAAAATCTCAAAATTATTTCAGCTTCTTCAAAAATTAGTATTTTTTACAAGTCTTAACAGTCCATAATGACTTTTAGATGTAATTATAAAAGGACTGCTTATACAATGAAAAATGAAGGAAAAAAATCCAGTAATATTTTTCTAATTCCCAAATCATCCATTAGCTTTATTTATTAACCAAACAGATCTCTGCCCTGGAAAGGAGACTTCTTCCAAGGTCATACATTTAAGCTAAATGACCTCTGGAAGTCTGTGTGTTCCTGTTCAACAGGTTTTGTAAGATGAAATTATCTTCTAACATCTCTTCCCAGTTTTAACCTTCAAGGATTCTCGAATTTTCCATAAATACCAAAAAAGTTGATACATTTTTCTACTAGGGTTATGTGTTGGCAGCAATATTAGTCAATCACATCCAATCTCAAACACTAGGTAGTTTTGGCAAAATTTCTTAACAGATAAATAATCGAATCAACCTATAATGATTACAGGTAATATTACCAAGGCTCAGAGAAGACACACAGTAATTAGTAACAAAATCAGAATGTAATCCTTGGTTCTCTTTTTACTCAGTTTCTGGGAGTATGCTCTTTCATGCTATACTAAAAACCAAAATCAGCTGGAACTATGTATTTCAAGCCAGGCCTTCTCAAAAAGTGATGACAATGTACAGCAAGTAGGTCTCAATTTCTACCTTTTAGGAATGATAACCATTTCATCACTTCAAATGAGAAAATAGGAAAATTCTTAATATTAAAAATACCTAACAAAGTGCTTCTTTCCTTTGACATAAAAAATTCATTCTTTAAGAAACTACAGGTTATTCTCTTGACGGAAATAAAAATCCCACAAGTTTGTAAGTAGCCCCCAGTTACACTTTCTAAAATAATTTTAAGTGTTTAATAATAACAAAGTATACAATGTGGTTCAAAAAACTCTGATGATGATAACAACACCAGAATATAGACCTGGTTCAGAAAATTGGCAGTGAATTAGAATAAAGCTAGAAGTGAAATGTATAAAAGGATATACAGTTCTCAGGCTCTACACTGCAACTCTTCACTCCTAGCTCTCATTACCTGGCACAGCAGGTACTTGATAATTTTTTCACCTAAGACTCAAAACTTCAAAGTCAGTATTTATCTGAAGGAGAATGGGGAAACCTATGGGACTAAGAGACATACCAACCACTTTGCAAGGTGTAGATTTTATTTGGATCCCAATTCAAATAAAAAACTGCTTATTAAATAGACAATTTAAAAAAGAAACAACTGGAATGAGTACTATTTAGATATTAAACATTATTAAGGAATTACTGTAGGTTTTTTCAATGTGGTAATAGCATTACAGTTCTTTCTTCTCAGTCTGGAGTATGCTAAGGATAAGCATGACAAGTCTTTTTTTTTTTTTTTTAATTAAGAGGCTAGCTAGGCAAAATAGATTTCCCATTTGAATTCCATAGAGTATCTGAAATTTTGTAACTGAAGTTACTGATGGAGTACCATAGCTGTATAAATATGGAAGAAACTTTATGGTCAAGAAAACCATTTTTTTTAAAAAAGGTTTTATTTATTTATTTATTTGAGATAGAGAATGAGTGAGAGACAGAGAGAGCATGAATGGGGAGAAGTTGGAGGAGAAGCAGGCTCACTGCTGAGCAAGGAACACGACATGGGGCTTGATCCCAGGACCTCAGGATCATGACCTGAGCCAAAGGCAGACGCTTAACTGACTGAGCCACCCAGGTGCCCCAAGAAAACCATTTTTAATGGAATTTAAACATGAAGAGAACTTGTATAATTTTGATAATAAAAACTATTCTGTGACTAAAATGGAACAAATGGAAACACCCAAACTGAGTTGGAAAATAAAACAGCCTACGTGATTGAAAGTCCAAAACCAGGGCTTACAAAATTATTTTAAGAACTAAAACTCTAACAATAGGTATGTAACTAATTAAAGTATACATTCTTGGTCCTTGATCTAATCTTAGTTTCTCTAAGGCAGTTTTTCTTCATACCTTTAATAGCTGATACAATTTTATATTCAATAAAGAGACCAGAAATATCCCTTGTAATAATCTATAAAAGAACATAATTTCAACCACACTGGCCATTCATGACGCTGTCATGTACTTACTGTCAAGTTGTCTCTCAGTAATTGCATTATTAGCGTGCTGTCTTTGTAGGACTCTTCACTTAATGTATCAAGTTCAGCAATGGCTTCATCAAAAGCCTATGATGAAAGAAGGACATTTCAGTGCTCAAATAATAAGGATTACTAAATTTCCACAAAACAGGTAAAATACGTACTGTCTTTGCAAGAGAGCAAGCTTTCTCCGGGGAGTTCAGAATTTCGTAATAGAACACAGAGAAGTTAAGGGCCAGACCCAATCTAATAGGATGTGTTGGCTGCATTTCCTTTTTGCTGATTTCAAAAGCTTCTTGGTATGCTTGTTGTGACTGATCCACAATCCCTGGAAAATAAAACATGCCAAAACATTATCAACAAAGTTTGCACTTCATCTTCACCCCTCAAGCCAGACCTTTAATATCCAATGATATGCTCTGAAATACTAAGCTGTAGCAACTTTGATTGAATGAGGATCTTAAATTTAAAAAAGGCTTCTCGAAGGAACACCACTACACTAACCATTGGTCAATGTTAATACAAAAACTCTTGCAATCATCTCAGAATTAATAACTAGTTTTCACTGCTCTATAGTTACGCTGTGATCACTATCTCTTAAAATTGTGAGGAAATGGGGCACCTGGGTGGCTCAGTCGTTAAGCGTCTGCATTCGGCTCAGGTCATGATAAAATCTTAAAAAAAAATTGTGAGGAAACATGGCTATACACAAAATTGGCTTTTCAACAAGCATGGATTTTAGAACACCAATATGAGGCAGTAGATATACATTCTCAGGACTTTAAAAAAATTAATTACTGGAGCACATGGCTCAGTCCGCTAAGCCTCTGACTCTTGACTTTGGCTCAGGTCATGATCAAAGGGTTGTGAGATCAAGCCCAGCATGGAGCCCGCTTAAGATTCTCTCTCCCTCGCCCTCCTGCCCCTCCTACCCCTCCAAAAAAGAAAAAAGTTAATTACTGCTCTTCATTTAGAGCTCTAAGCAATTAAACAAAAAAACTACAACTGTTTACATTTCAGAGAGACTACTTCCATACTGTGTTATTTTATACAAGTTCAACAAACATGTTGAAAAACAGTTTACCTTTCTTGTCATCACCAGCAGCAACCTCGGCCAAGTAACGGTAGTAGTCTCCTTTCATTTTCAAATAGAAGACTTTGCTCTCTGCTTGTGAAGCATTGGGGATCAAAAACTTTTCCAAAAGAGACTTTGGAAGAAAAGAAACAGTAAGAATATTTACAAGACTGAAAAAAATCTTCACTTCTTAACAGCATACTACAGCCTAATACCCAATTATTACCAGAGTACAATTAGTTGAATGCAGTAGGCTCATAAATTTGTGGTTCAAAAGCAGAATGTTTTGGAGAGCAATGCTTAAAAAGTGAAGTTAGTGTTGAGTTTATTACTTAAGGACACATTTTGAGTATGTGCCTCCCCCGCACAGTGCTATCTGTTTACATGCTGATAAAGACCACATGCTTCAGTGAATGTGAAAGCATGAGAGCTCCTAACAAGCTTTTTCTAGTAAGTTGACAAACTTTCCATTTTCAAGGTAGTCATTAGAATGGAAAGAACACAAGAGATAAACTTTTGGGACTCCTGGAGAATTATGACTCAAGCAAAAACCAATAATGTAAGAGACACTACCCAGAGTCCATAACTGAGAAAGCAGAACAAAATTAACTTCATTTAGAAGAATACAATTCAAGCAAAACCTCACAACAGGTAACAAGTTGTTCAAAGTCAAAGTTTTATTGTTCCTAATTAAAGTTAAGAAAGTGGTATGGGGTGCCTGGGTGGCACAGTCAGTAAAGCGCCACACTCTGGTCTTGGCTCAGGTCATGATCTCAGGGTTGTGAGATCCAGCTCCCCACCAGGCTCCCCACTCAGCAGGGGGCCTGCTGGAGATTCTTGTCTCCCTCACCCTCTCCCTGCTCGCTCTCTCCCTCTCTCTCAAATAAATAAATCTTTAAAAAAACTAAATACAGTGGTAGATGGGTTTATGAGAATTACAGATCTGAAGAGTAAACCTTTTATTAATTCCCTTAAAGTGATTTTTAGCTAATAAAATACATATTTGCAGACCATACCAACAGATAAAATTTCATCCTGTATAATTTTGTTTAAAACTATTAACAATCTAAACTAATTTAAATCCTAGCATGCTAATAATAATTATACTCTACAATTGATTTAAAGCAAAAAAAAAAAAAAATCAGATCGTTGTATTAAGGGGAGAAGGCACAATAAACTAGTGGGGTTTTTTTTAAGAGGAAAAAAGATAATTCCAGTAGTACAATTAGGCAAATGTTAATAAAAATACTCAAAAAACAAAACCATTCTCACCACCAATTTTCCTCCTAGCTAAAAATACTAGGAATCAAGGTGAAAATCAGTTTTCAACTGGGCTTAGCCCCAACTAGTCCATTTTTATAAGAAGAGTTATCAAATTCTTGATTCTTGGTTTCTGTCCTTCTGGCAGTCACACAGTTTAGTCTACTTATACGCAAGACAGTTTGAAGGTACAGATAGTTTGAAGCTACAGATACCCACATGAAGTGGGTAGGGGCCAACATGGCAGTAGGGCCAAGCTGCACTGCATTATTGGAAGGGGGTCAAGGTGAGAAGTCAAACTACTACGTTTCCTGTGGTTATTAACCAATATTTGAAACTACTGGCCTAAAATCAGATGAACACTTTGGTTAGGATAACAAAATTTGATTACACCACACCCATACCTTCATATTCAAAGATCTCTCAGCTGCGTTTGTCCTTTGAACACCACGCTCTTTAGGACATAAGCACTCTTTTTTTTTGTTTTAAGATTTTATTTATTTGACAGAGAGACAGTGAGAGAGGGAACACAAGCAGGGGGAGTGGGAGAGGGAGAAGCAGGCTCCCCGCTGAGCAGGGAGCCCAACACGGGGCTCGATCCCAGAAGCCTGGGATCAAGCGACTGAGCCACCCAGGCACCCCCATAAGCACTCTTTGAACACTGACTATGGCAGCTCTTTTGGGATCCACCTCAAAAACAGAAGATAGTTCCATTTAATATAGTAAGTGGATTTTTCACTTAAACAAATGACCAGGCCTTTTCAAGTTTTATATCTTAATACAAAATACATTATTCATTCAACTATGGAAGATGGTATAGCATAATGGCTTTGGAATCAGTCTAGTAAATGGTGGCATTCCACACTTCAAATGGTAAGTTCAATTTCTGACTGGCTAAGCGGAAGATTAGACTATGAAGTCTAACTAAAGAAAAAGTAATAACGTGACTAACCAGAATTCACACAAATAACTTCAAACAGCAAGAGAAAAATATATAAATTTAAAGAAGGCTCCATATACAAGTCTTTGACTCATTTACACATGTAAGATTATACTAAAATATCTTCAAATAAAATTGACAATAACTAAGCCCAAACATGAAAATTATTTTTCACTTACGCAGTTCTATTTCATATTTTACTGCTTACACGTATTTTTCACATTCACTTAATTCTCCAAATATTTAAATGCCCCTGTGCTAAACACTGAGAAATAAATGGTGGGCAAGATCGTCTCTAACTTTGTGGATAAGTGGTCTAGCAAGGAAGACAAATGAAACTGAGAATAACATTGCCTAGTCACGTCCTTCAACTTTTCAATGACTTTAATCCATTCTATGTCAAGATGAAGGCCACAAACATGTGTAGTCAAGGTGACAAAAAATGTTACAACCCATCTTCAGTAACACATCTTTTATGAGTACTAACTTCTATATCCCTAGTAACATTGTGTGTAATTCACAAGGAAAATTTTTTAAACAATAAACACCTCTTCCCCCAAAGTGAACACTGCTTAGCCCTAACATCGAAAACAGTAACAGAAACAACTTTAAAAGGTATTAACCAGAAACTACAAGTAATAGGAAGGCAAGACAACAGTAGTCAACCAGCTTACTGACCAAACTGTAGACCAAAAGGACCAAGAGTTAAGTATCAACAGTGGCAAACAAATGTTTCTAGTGAAATGCTGACTACAAGCTGAGAAAGCAAACTCATTAAACTGTACACTACAAAAATGTGCAGTTCTTTGCATGTCAGTTATACTTCAATAAAGCTGTTACAAGTAAAAAGCTGAGAACGGGATAAACGGCACACTTTTGTCTATTAGATCTTCTGATGACATAACTCTAAGAACCATTAAAACTTACAACACAAGACAGACTGGATATTAAAGATTAAATAAAGGGGCTAACACTTGGTTCAACTGGCTAGGAAATAAGAGAATTGTGGTAGACAATCTCCAAAGATAGCCTCCACTAATTCCCTTGCCATCCCTGTCCACATATGCCATTCCCTCCTCGTCAAGATGTGGAATTTATTTCCTTTCTCCTAAGTCCGGGCTAACTTTGATGACTTGGTTTGAACAAAGAGAATGCAGTGGAAGGGACTGAGTTCCATTTCTGAGCCTAACCCAAGAGGACTAGCAGCCTCCCCTTTTGCTCTTGGAACCCTAGGCTAGCATATATAAAGTCAAACTACCCTGCTGGAGAGAAAGGCCAAGCTAGCCCCAGGAATGGGACATGTTAGGTAAAGCCATTCAGATATTTCAGCCCCAGCTAAATGCAGCAATGAGTGACTCCAGCCAACACCATGTGAAGAGCTGCAGTTGAGGCAAACTGCAGGATACAAGAAGGAATGAATCATTGTTTTAAGTTACTATGTTTTGAATGGTTATGCAGCAATAGACAAAAGTTTATAAAGCTATTTCAATAATAAAGATAACACTTCTAATATTTAATTTAATTTGATCCTTTCATAAACCTACCCATGAGAAACTAAACTACCCTACAGAAGACAATGGGGCCCAGCTCAAGGTGTGAAGGTACAACTCCAACTAGGCAATCTGACCTGTACTACTACTACAATTATGCTACATTTTTTTCTGCCCTAATAGGGTGCTCTGCCTACGAAAAAGGATAATGTGATTCCAAGATATTAATACAATTAGTAATCAAAATTAAGGAAAATGATTCAGTTCTATAATGTACTAATGAGACCAAAGCTATAGTATTTTGCTTCTTTAAGAAATTTATCAAGACAGGATTGACAAACTGGAGAATATCCAGGAAAGTAAGCAAGAATGGTAAAGAAACTAGAAACTTGTCATGAAAATTCAAAGAATGGCTCTAGACAAGACTAATTAAGTTAAGCAAGAGGCAGATTTCTGCTCAGTAAGAGAGATTTGTTTGAGTGGTCCAAACTTGGAATAAAGCCACCTAATCAAATAGCTCCACCTCCTCTTACAGAGATTTTAAGGAAAAATAAGGTGATCAGTTGGGGTATTTTATAGATTCATAAATCAGATGTGATTTCATTCAACTCTAATGTAAGATATGGAAGATACAGAGTTCATTCAATTAAGTTAGTTTTAGCACTAAAGAGGTGATTAAGTATGTTAATTTGTCAAATTGACCAAAGAAGAAGAAAATCTACATTTTCCAGATTTAGAAGCCACAGGAAAGAGGCAAAGTAGGAAGACCAAGATGGAAAGAACAAGAACAAAAGAAAAAGGAAGCAGCACTTATCAGAAAGCAGCAGTGACAAGGAAAAAATTGGAGGTGAGCAAATTTAAAAGTCAAATAGAGGAAAGGACTAACAGCTATTTTCAAAAAATATGAAAACTTAAGAGAATATCCTACTCAATATATAATGCAACCTTCTAAATTTCATTCATCTACTATAGTATAACGAAAGTGATGATTACTCTGGGACACTGTTAAGAATCTGAATTTCTAAGGGGAAACAGCCTTTTATATAAGTGGTAGATGAGACATTACAACTTCCAACCATGAAACAAAGGGTAGGCTGACTACTGATGTACCTCCACTTACAAAATTCTTCATGTAACATAGTACATTAACTTCCTAATCCAAATGTAATTAAAGTGGAAAAGGATATTTAAGTCAAACACGAAATTAAAGAACATCTTACACTCAAGCACCGAGGCTATACAATCCATATGAATCTTGCTAAAATATAATTTGATTAAAAAATTCACGGTATTGCCTCAGCAATTTAAAAATCTGCTTTTGATGACAACCACTGTCTTTTAAAGATACCATGGCCAACATTTTCAAAAATATCTGATTAATTTGTGAAATTAGAGTTAATGCATATTCTGACTTTATACAGTAGTCATCCTAATAAGGTAAAG